ATATATATATGTATATGTGTGTGTGTGTTACGGTTTAAAATAGTGGAAAGGGGCGGCCCACTCCCCAGACTTATAGCATTTCTTTACAGGTACCTTTTTATATCTCGCAAAAGTTGATGTTTGTGGATAAGCCACGTTTGCTACTCAAATATCCTTGCAACTATCCTATTAGGATTGGATGACGACTCAGTCGGAAAACCACAAGGAGCACGTATTGCAACCAACAACCACTGGCTCAGATGTTGAGTGAAGAAGAACGATATGTCCGTACCTGAACAACAACGAGTAGAGAGACATTAAAACACAATGCTGTACAGCAAATTAATATGGTGACCAGACGTTCGGTTTTGACGGGACAGTCCCATTTTTTGGTAGCTTGTCTCAGTACCCTGAGAAAAGTTCTTAAGACTTTTAAAACCTCCCGGTTTTATGATAAAGACATTAAACTGTCAGTCACATAAAATCACGAATGTAATAGGCCTACTTGACTTGTTCATTGTTGGAATACGTACCCTCTCCTGCTGCCACACTATCTCGAAAGTTCCGTCTGTACGTGGTGAGAACCCCAAGTCTGCGCAACCTTCTTTTTTTAGTTAGTTCAACTCTAGTAGACCTATAGAAGTTGGTGAATATGTGACTATCACCAAAAAAGTAGTTAAAATTATTTCAAAAATAGTGCCAATTTTAATGTATTTGGAAATATTGTGGAACAGTTCAATAAATTTAAAATAAATTAAATAAAATAAAAATAATCTCAAATTTGTAATAAAGATTTTGAAATTAAGGGCAAGGGCTAGGTTGTCCCGGTTTTTCGGTTTGGAAATCTGGTCACCCTACAAATTAAGAACATGATGATTATCACAAATTTTCTAAATATAATGCCATTTTTTTTTCGCATGCCTTTGATATGGTGTTGATTTTTAGAATTGAAAAATTTCTCTCCTTTTCACCAATGTTATAAATCTGCCCAATGATACAGTATTCCGTACAACGTAGTCTTTTAACGCTTAAAACCAACTCTACTTCTTACGATAACCGTCAAAAACTTTTTAATCTGTTTAAATTCATAAGTGTGAATAAAATTACCATTTAAACGGACTAAAACATGTCAATGTGGTTTAACCATTTTTTAATAATTTTTAAAAACATTTATTTATAGATTGGAAAGTACGCGTGTTGATTTTTCTGTTCATGTAATTATTTAAGCTTCCAAGGATAAATTAATGTATAATTTTTTATGATGATATAAGTATTTAAATATTATGTAGGCGTTTGACTACAATACTCGCAATACTTTTAGCTAATTAACGACCGGAAATATTTTTTACCTTGATGGATCTCATAACACGAACATTTTTTTACAGTAAAATAGTATAGAAATATTTTATGTGATTTGAGCTGACACTATAGAACGGCAACTAAGAGTTCTAAAATAATAACTTGTTCGTTATGATTTAGCCAGCAAAACTTGTAAAACTGAAGACTGTACGTTCCAGCATTAATGAAGCTAGTTTCGTTCTAGCCAATCAAAGTGTGATTTCTGTTTTACTGAAATGGAATTGGCGGATATAAACCTACCCATTATATTTATATGGAAACGACCCAGAAACACACAGTACAGTCATTATAGTAGAATTGTTATGCTGCAGTGGAAAATGGTAACTGTTTCATAGTGGTACAAGGCTTAAGAGACGTATTTTTAAATTATTTTTTACAGCAACACAAGTAGTGACACTGGAAACTGTGCAGTTATGAGCCATATAGTTTAATTTGATAATGTCTACATTTTTAGAGTATAATATCATAATTGCAAAACTTTTAACATACTAATGTCAAATATAAAGATTAAAACATTGCAAGTACAATGAATTTGCCTTTCTATGATAACCACAGTATGTTGTTGTTGCTTTATAGTTCCGTGACCTTTGTACATTGTTGTCTGAAGCCTAAGAAATTTCAACACATCTGAAAACAACTTTTTTATTATTTGGTTTCGTTATCCTTCGAAGGTTATGCTACGGCACACTGATTGGTGTATTTAAGTAAAATAAAAAATTGGACGTTGATCTAACAACGTTCTTGACCGTAAAGGTTAAAGCCTGGAACTTCAACAGTTGTCATGGGAATATTATATTTTCTTGGGCCAACCTTGTGTTACGCAGAGTGATGTTAACATCAAATGTCTAATCAGCGTTGTCATTACATTTGACACGGATATATATATACTTAAGAGTTTGATTTCGCTTTGGTTCTCATGATTCTGAAAGAAAAGACAAGGATCCAAATAAGTTAATTTTAGAACACGAGTTAAAGGTAATTCACACTTGTTTTTTATTTTATTTGATACTTAATTCATTCGATTTAGTCACGTAATGTTCAAAACATTTGAGCCTGGATTTTAGTTAAATTGCCTTAGTAAGTTTAAGTGAATAAGAGTCCCTAATGAAGATAAGAATGGCGTAGCTTATTAAATTTGTTTTCTTTGTTGAATTTCTTCTGGAAGATCCAATGTAGTTACAGGTAATGTCGTATAGATGGCGTGTAGGAAATCTGTCAGGTTAGATAGATATTTTTGTTTTTTAGTTTTCAAAATCCACGAACCATATAGCGTAGCATGTTTCCGACGGCCTCAAGATAAAACGGAAAATTGTTTAGTTATTGCATAGGTGTTGAAAGGTTGTTGGTTGATTTTTGATTATTTGAGGAGTTTCTGATTCTGATTTTACGGTTTAAGATAGAGCAATGACAGAATATGAAATTAACTTGAAATGATCTTATCAGCGTCGTGCATAGATTTTTCAGAGTCCCTTAACTCTGTGGATACCAGGGCCTAAAAGTTCGTTAAACTCCCAAAACGCTCCGTTTTTAGCCAGAAAGCCCCTACTTTTTGAATATCCTATGCATTTCATTGAGAAAGTACATTATTCCTGAATACTTAAGCTACAACATACCGATGTTTAATCTTACTCATCAGAGTATTTTCTAGATTTTTGGAAAAAGAAAAGCAAGAAAACGCTCTGAGATTTTTACTTTTTGTGTTTGGTATTTTGAACTTAAGCGTCACATTATAAGAAATATGGTCTAAACAGCTGCGTCAGAGACCATTAACCGTTCTGGCATACGAAGCCAGTTA